TGCGGATCTCCTGGTGATGTCGCTTTGGCCTTGAAGGAGCGAAGGGTTGCAAGCTTGCCAGTTGCCTTGCACTTCGCTGAATCTCCACCAGCCGACTCCAAAGTTGGGGGCATTGTCATGGACAAAGGCAACGGGCAGCTGGATGTGATCAAGTATGTTACCTTCAAGGACAAGGTGTCAACGCGGGAGGCCACAAAACTCATTGCTGGCTCTGCGTATGTGCCCTTTTCTCGCCCAGGTCCGTGGTCTGTCAAGAAGGCTTTCCAGTCCTTGTTGGACAGGTTACCTGGACATCATGTGCATTGGAGCACAGTGACGAAATGGGAAGCACAGTCAAAGAGTGGGTCGAGCTCTGCGTCCACTTGGGCCCCCGATACGGAGAGCCTTCTCCAAGGCGTGTCTTTTATCAATGACAACGCGCCAGAAATTGATGCCAACAATGAGCAGCACACATGGATTCTGATGAGCATCAAGGAAGACTCGAATAGCCCCATCGCAGGCTACAAGAAGATGCTGTGCCTGGATGGAGAAGGGCCAAGTCACTTGACAACTTTCGACATCAAGTGGCCAATGTCTATGAAGGAATCTTCTTGGATGATCCCAACCGTGAGAACATCTCCATGGCTGACCTGAAGTCCTTCTTGACAGTGGAAGAATAACAAACCACATCAGGTCGTTACAATGATGCAAAGCTCACCAGAAATTGCCTCAGAGCGTATGCATCCAATGACTTGGATCAGGCTGACGAACCAGCAGACGATTCCCGCACTTCCATCACAAGCGAAGAGTTCATGAAGATGACCAAGCGCTTGTTTGCCCGGGACAAAATGGCTGATGTCTTGGCTTGCTTGAAATGCTCTGTTGTGCTTCTGATAGGGCAGCATGCTGTCTACCTCCGGCTCCCTAGCCAAGATCCAGAAGGCAAAGTACATCGCATCAAGGTGGACGACTTGCACAAGGAGCTCTTGGCCGAAAAGGACAAACCACTGTACTCGAAGTATAAGCTTGGCATTGTCGAGTATGGCCCCCAATGGGAGGAAGAAACCCAACGAGAAGTCAGCATGATCTCCATTGGCATGGAAAAGTTCGCAGCAGGAAGACCAGAAGCTTACATCAAGTATGCCAATGAGGAAATCGAATCTCGCCTGTACCGAGCCCTTCCTCCAGTGCATTTGCCTGACAGAGGAGACCGAGACTCTTCCCCAGATGAAGCGCCTGTTCTGCCACCTCCACCGGTCATCATCCCAAACCCAGCTCTGAAGTGCAACCGTCTCGGTCAGTTTTGCTACCCACCGGCCAAGCGCCACAGGTGCAAGAGCAAGCCAGACAGTGCTCCTGGCATGAGGCATGAACTTGAAGATCTAGCTTACATGCACGAGTGAACGTCAGGCCGCGATGTCTTGCCGAAGCATTGTTCCGTATAGTACAGTATGATCCACCAGACCTGCGCCCTGCCTGTGGAAAAAACTGATCGTCATCATTTTTGGTGTCTGCATGGTGGTTGTCTTTATCAGCATCAGTTGCTTAAAGTTCCATGTGTACTTCTGTTGGCATACCTGCTTTGTAATTTTACACCTTGTCTCTATAGTTTGTGCCTCCAAAGCTGAAAGAGATGTTGGTTTCTGCTGTCTTCCTTCATGGCGCGCAAGTTCAATCCATTCCCGGACCCCAAGCGTGGCAAAGGCAGGTCGGTCTTGAAACGACCAGCTGCCGTGAAGCCAGCATCATGGAAGAAGGTCAAATACACCAGAGACCTGCTGGTGTCGGGCCAACTGGCCTACGCATGGACCGTATCAAGTGGAAAAGAACCATCCATGAGTTGCTGGGAGCTTCAGACGACAAGATCGCCAACTTGCTTTTGCAGGACAGCTTGCTCTGTGCGTGGGAGGGCAAAGTCTGCCCTCGCTGCGGCAAGGGTTCGCTGTCCAAGCTTCAAAAGAGCAGTGGCAACTTGCCTAAGTACCGTTGCAATGCGAAAGCTTGCCATGTGTACTTGAACCCTCATCACCTCCATCCACTCTTTGTGGACGGCAGAGGCTCCAGCTCAACATCCTTGCAATTGCAAGCTGCGCTTCTGCTTCTCTTGCTGAATCGCGTACCGCATCCTGTGATTCACTGATTGCTGGGTGTGAGCCACAAAGCAGTCGAGGACATGGACAAGCGGCTACGGGATCTACGCATGAAGTGGGTGCAGGAACAGGAAACATGTCAATTTTGGAAATGGAAAGAAAAGGTGCGATGTGGAAGCTGACGAGACGACATTTCTCAAGCAAAACCTCGGAAACCATGCTTCGGAGCCAGAGACGCCAGTCATTTGGGAGCCATGGTGTGGGATAGTGAAAAGAGGTTGCCCGCAGAGCTTAGTCCTGCACCGCCCGAACCCAAAGATGTCTGAGGCTCGAGCGCTGGGGCCAGGCGCCATTCGCAAAGTCGAATGGGTACCTTTGGCGAAAACATGGTTGCAGGATAAGCAGGTGATCCTGCACACCGATGCAGCCAAAAGCTACAAGTGCAAGGTGCCGGGGGTCATTCATGACAATGTTATCCATGCCAAAAAGCGGGTGAAGAAGAACGGCAAGTGGCAATGGCGCGCCCCAAACTACGTCCGGGTCGTCAAGCACAAGATCCCAGGCACCAAGAAGACAATGAAGGTCAAAGCCGGCGCCCAAACCATTGACAGGGCATGGAGATATTTGAAGGACCGGATTTCGTTGCACCAAAATAGCACACTATAGGGTCGAAGACCCTGAGGGCCATGCTGCGTTCAGCCCAGTATGAGTACTGGCATAAGAATGCTGATCTTTGGGTTGCCACCGGCACACTTTGCTCCTGGGAAATGGCAAAGTTTGTGTCGAAGCGCTCTGTCAAGAAGTGATGGTTGCCTCCTGGGGAAAATGAGCTGCTTGTCCACTCATTCTGCACCTGCACTTCATAGGACACAATGATCTCTTCCACTTCTGCACCTGTACGTGGCAGCAAACTACTTCATCCACACCACGCGTGCAAGCGTAAATCAATGAATGTCTGTTCACAACAACCACGTCTCGACATATTCAAATGCATTCCAACACTCTACTTCAACAAACCAAGTGACATCTACTGGCATGTTCATATGCATTCCAACGCTCCACTTCAACAAACCAACTGACATCAGCTGGCATGTTCACATGCATTCCAACCATCCCCTTCCACAAACCAAGTCACACTTGGTGGCATCTTCATATGCATTCCAACGCTCCCCTTCAACAAACCAACTGACATCCGCTGGCATGTTCACGTGCATTCCAACGATCCACTTCCACAAACCAAGTGACATCTGCTGGCATATTCACATGCATTCCAACGATCCACTTCCACAAACCAAGTGACATCTGCTGGCGAGGGTGTTTTTTTTCTTGGGGGGGGTAGCATATATATATATATAGATAGATAGATAGATAGACAGCCAGATAGATAGATAGATAGACAGCCAGATAGATAGATAGATAGATAGATAGATAGATAGATAGATATATTTCTTCAAAATCAATATGATAATATGCATGTGTCTATATCAATATGCATGCATGGTGTGTATAGTGCATACAAAACATGTCCACATTCATTTCTATTGCATATCTGTTCCATAAGATGGTCTAAGGATTTGACCTTAGCGGGGGTTTCCGTTGTGAGGTCATAACAACATGCTCACCTTTGAACGTCTGCAATGGGATTTTCAGCCGAGTGGTTATTTGCAGCTCTGGTTCAATCATGAGTCCTGGATGGCGGAACCCTACGGTGACCTGGCCTGGTGAATCACATCGTGGATATTTTTTGAGAACGAGACCATAGGGTCACCAAAGACAAAGCGACAACTTGTCAGGTTGTCAGTTCTTCGAAAGCCAGTCTTTTTCAAAACATGCCTGTCTTGGAGGTTTGATGATAGAACATAAAACAAGTGTTGGTACCATGGGTGTGCATGTTGCCCCGATGCCTATAGAGTGAGTCAATCTCAGGCATTTTTGATGATATATGCCATAGAGTGGTCCGTTTGAGGTTGTCTCAAAATGCTGGATATGGGGAACATGACGAATGAACCATTGGATTTTGGGGGGGTCCTAAAGATGTTTCGGATTTTTTTTTGATATCTGCTGACTGTTTTTGTTCCCGATGTCTTGCAGGGTTACTTCAACTTATTGCAGACGATCATAACCACTTTTTTGGGTGGAAAAATTAGTCAGTTTAACAGTTTGCCTCTATACAGTTGTTTTTCCCAGTCTTCCCTCAAAACGTATCCTGAGTAGCCGTGATTGGGGTTGATTTGATTGCATCCTCCATTTCCCTTTGGTGAAATCCCAAATGGATCCAAATAGTTGGTTGTATATTCCAGTGTATCCCCCATTACATGCTTACATGCCCATTAAGAATGGTTATACCAGCTCTTTCCGCCCCAACTGGTTCTCTCCCGGAAAAAAACTCGAGATTCGGCTCCATGACCATGAAATGCCATGATTATCTCTTGACTGCACTGCTGTTCTTCAGGCAATTGGTTCAACGTCATTCCAGATATCCTCTTCATCATGGTTCTGCTGAGAATGGCCCATCAGGAGGCTAAAGAACTGCTGCCTGCCATCGCTGGAGGTATGGATGGCATCAAGGATTACTTCAAGTTCTGGAACCTGGTCGATTGGAGCCTTGGTGGATGGAATCCCTGGAATCCGTGGATCTTGGACCTGGATCTTTGGGTTTCCATATGATTTGAGATGTTTCTGCATAGTAAAGATGGAACATTTTTCATGATTTTTCCATATATTTTTCCTCATTTCCAAAGCCCAGGGATGAATTTTCATTGGCAAAAATCCCAGTATGAGTTAAAGTGGGTTGGTTCGTTCACCCCCGTTAGGGCAGACAGGATCTGTGGTGTATTTACTGTATATAGATGTCGAACAAAATCTGTTTGTGCATTTCGTTGGGTCGAAGACTCCCTTCTCAAGGGCATTTTTCAATCTCCGAGAGAAATATGCGATTTGCAGTGGTATGTTTTGCCATGGGATTGCTTAAGAACTTCCAGGCAGATTGTGCTATGATTCCGTGGGTCCGGGTAGTACAAGAAAAAAACATCTTCTTCCAAGATGTATCTTAAAAATCACACGTTTCAAAAGCATCACGTTCAGATACGTTCAGATACTTCACCAGCTCGTTCGGAAACATCAGGTCAGTGCAAATTTCAGGGCCCTAAAATGGAGGTACTGAGCTATACAAGGCCATATTGTGGGGATCTTCTCTGATAAAAAAATAGACCTTATATAAAAATGGTAGGTACACCTCAAATAGATCGGTTCCTGAAATGGCCATTGAGGACAGCCATTCTGGCTGGCTTTATGAACGTGGTCATCTGGCTTTACTTCTTCTACAAAATCTCTGTGGAACTGCCAGCTGTGATTGGCGAGATTCCTCAAGCCGAGCTGCCTGGATTGGATTGTGATGATGTGGTTTAAAAAAACCTGGTGGTCTATAGTTCATCCACCAGAAATGGGGAAGCTACGGCTAAGATTCTGGTTTTTCTCATGATTTTTTTTGGTGGCCGGCAGCCAAAAGAAATCACGCAACTCCCAGATTGGATGCCCGGGTGCTGCAAAATCAGACCTTTTTGACGGTGGACACGATGTCGGAGATCATTGATCCGATGTTGCTGAACTTCCGGATCAACGAGGTCTTCATTTTGGCCAGGGAGATCTATGACTTCCATGCCATACTGCGGGGCTTCTTTTTTGGATACTTCTTCATTCTGATGATGAAATTTTTCAAGACCTTTCAGGCTGGAGTTGTTTTCTGTTTTCGTTTTTTGGGTCTCGGACAGTTTGGAGTTTTGCGTCATGAGGAACAACAGTTGGATTGGATTAACCCAGTGGGGGCACCAAAACATCCAAATTGGGTATCCCGATCTCCGACCGTGATGTTTTTTTATTCAGCCACGGCTTTGCGAGGCGAACCCGCGATTGGACATTGTGGTGCAAACCATCAATCACTGCTCGGTGAACGTGGTCCATTTCGCCATTGTCTTCTTGGCCATCTTCCTTTGCTATGCCTTTGCGGGACATTTTCTCCTGGGCCACATGCACAAGGGCTGGGATTCCATGTTGGGATCGCTCTTCATGCTGTGGTCCACGGAATTAACCATGGAGGATGTGAGTAGCTTCAGCGTTCCGGTTCAGGCTGTTTGCTACTTGTGGTCCTTGACCTACCAGATTCTAGTGCAGCAGGCGATGTTGTTTGGGGGGAAAAAGATGGAAAAAAGCCCTAAAAAAGCATTGATCTATCATCAGTGTTCCGGTTTTTGCAACTCTAATTTGGGGAAAATCCGGTTTTTCAACAGACCCAAATACATCAAATATGATCCAACAAGGAACCAATCCTATGATGATCGTGGTGATGATTGTGGTTATGATATGTTATAATTATAAATATGAAGGCGATTCATTATAACGTATATGTGATTATGACTCTGAATATGATGGCGATTAATTATTACCTATATGATGTCTATATGATATATATATATAGAGTTTACTTTTGTTGAAAATTTCCCTGAGTTTGGGACACCCTGAGGTCATGTTGAACATGCTCTATTGTATTGTCTTTGATTCCTATGCATTTGTCAAGACGCGTGCTGGCGCACCCTTGACCCTCTATGCACAGATCAGGGATGCAGCAGCGACAGCAAGGGAAACCAGAGGTTTTGTGAACCTCTACACCTTGATCGTGCAGCTGGAGGAGCCTTTTGGTCTTGTACATGGACGAAAATCATGTGGCTATGGATCAATACCTATTAATACCATTTTTAGGGGAATGAACATCCATTTACCAGCTATTTTGATGTTCACCAGGGGTACAAGGTTTTGACACACTGCCATGTTAGTACCAAAGATAATCAAAGATATATAATCTAAGTTCATCCAAGGTTCACAAAATGACCAGATCCCCAACACACTTCCTGTTTCCGAAAACATCAAACAGCCAGGCCTTTTCATGCACACTAAAATTCAGATCTCATGGCCAGGACGATGATTTTCCAGCGCATCCCAATGAAATTGTGACCACCAGATCCTTGAAACGCGCCTTTGAGCAAGACGGGATGACGCGTGCGAACGCTGAAGCTCGGCGTGATGGGATATCTCTGGGCCTGGGATGCCTGGGAGGAGAAGTTCTCGGGAGGATAGTGGGAGAAGGATGGGAATATTGTGGTTTAATGGAATCTGGATTTAGATGGGATTTAGATGGGAGTCTGAATGGGATTTAGTGGATGATTTTTGATTTTTGACCATGATGAGATAGTAATGGAATATGAATGGGGATATACCGCCACGGAACTGATGTCACCGGTGATCGGCAACTTCGGGAGTGGTTTCCATGAAGTTTTGGCGACCCCAATAGCTGGATGGCTTGTAATTGAAGAATTCGGAAAGAATCCCAATCTAAAATGGATGATTTAAGGGCACCAGCATTTTAGGAAACCCATGGAACGCCCCCATATGTGTAAAACACTAGGGATACAAGCTGCAATAGGGATGAAGGATTAGATGATATTAGATGACAGTGAGCTTGGCTGATTGGGTTCTGGCTGATAGCTTAGTGCTGGCTGGAATGGGAAGGGGAATGAGAACTGTTTCAACTGTTTCGTACCCAACTTTGACCTTTTTTATGGCTATTCCTCATTTTTGGAGGGTCATGGGACATATTTGTCAAAACCCATGGTGACATATTTGTGGGCGATGAACATTCATACTAACCAGCGCTTTTGATGTGACAACCAGGGCATTTTTGGGTGTCATGATTCGAGCCACTTGGGTTTGTCTGTGCATACAGTATTTTCAAAGCTGACCTTTTGGCTATGATCAAGTGCAGTACCCTCTGGTAAACTAACATAATTAGCTATTGAAAATGGCCATTTATAGTGAGTTTTCCCATTAAAAACGGTGATTTTCCATAGTTATGTTAGTTTACCAGAGGGTATCTGTACACTACGCATGGAACACAGACACACCTGCGGTGGGTTCCAAACGAATATCCTGCCGCCGTCTGAAAATGGGGCACACCCAATTCCATGGAAAAAAAACATGAAATTTCCCACTGAGACGCACCCTTTTTTGTATCCCCGAGAAAAAAAAACATCCCACAAATTGTGTAATCCCCATATGAAATGCAGAGCATATTTACATGACATATCCCATTAAATCCAGGTGTAGCATCGTAAATTCCCATCGGTGGGGCTTGAAAAGGAATACCTTTTGATGAAGACCGCAGACTTCGTGCAAGAGAAGTCGGAGGAGATTGAGCTGTCCTTGTCAGATGCGATTCGCGTGACAGGCGACGACTTGTCGACGCGGGGTTGTTTGTTTGAAAATAAGGTGCCCCATCCACTGTGAAATGGGTATGGATCAATACCTATTAATACCATTTTTAGGGGGATGAACATCCATTTACCAGCTATTTTGATGTTCACCAGGGGTACAAGGTTTTGACACACTGTGAAATCATCATTGTCAATATCAACTTGTCATTTTTTTGGGGGTACCCCATTTTCAGACCCACCCATATGATGGATTATCATGGTGGCCGCACCTGTTGTTTTTCCTGTAAGAACCCGGACACCACACCAGCCCAGGACAGCTTTAGAAAAAGGCAATTCTCAGCTTTGTGCCGGTGCTTTGACATGATGTAAATGATGTATCAGTACAAGGTGTTGCCCCATAGTTTGCACAGTTGGTTTAAATCACTCTAATAAGTAGGATTTATTTATGGTAGATATATCTACTGTAAATAGTTAGTATGGTTTCTAAACCAACAAACATCACAGGGGGCACCCAGCAGAGATCTTTTCAAGATCCCAGCCTGGAAACACCAGTACCAGAAATAGGGCAAGCCCTAAGGCCCTTTAGGGGAAATCATCGCACCATCGCCATAAAAAAAATCGATGACTTCTCGTTGGGTCCTGAGGTTTCGGGACCGTTTTGACCGCTTTTTTTTGGTTCCGATGTTCAGGTCATATCCAGACCACCATGCTGAAGAGTTTGGATTTTGCCGAAGATTCCCTCACGATGATCTCCACGGAAGCCCGGAACAAGGAGGCGGCCGAACGACAACAAGATCGGGCAGCCTTCGTGTCCAATGCTTTGGGAGAGACTTGGCCGAAGCAGTGGAGAACCCGTGGTGTTGAAAAGGGGGAAAGGATGGAAAAGGGCCCCATGTTTTCAGCACTGATATCTTGGTTTTTGATATCTTTACATATCTTTACCCCAAGTTTGAAGGTGATATCTTTGTCTCATTTCTCTAAATGGGACCAAATTCTTTGGCAAAGTCATCTCTTGGTTTGTTGGTGGATCCATGGAATCCCTGGAATCAACCGCAGATAGTACCGCAGATTCTGACACAAGGCTTGGATGACTGGTGAAAAATCATGAAACATCCGATCTTGTGGGTCGACGGTTCGGTACTTCCCGAACCACACTGACATGTTTTGTTTCTTACAAGGCGGCACACGGACACGTATGTTTGTTGCTTCAGCAACACCTCCAAAAAAATCATCCCATAGTTCTACATCCTGTTCTATCTACCAGAGAATTCGCCTAATTAGTCAGGCAAATCCACTGGTAGCTCTCATTTTAGTCAGCCATCAATCCGATTGAACCCGCATGGAACCCGCATCCGCCAGAGGAGATGCCAAGCTTTGAGCCGCAGCAGGGCAAAGAAGTGATCTCAGTGTCGGATGAAACGATGGAGCGATTGGAGTCGCTGGGCTGTGTTTTTTTTGCTGGCTGCAACATGTTTCTAATATAAATATATATATATACCCTCTGGTTATTTAACATAGCCATGGTATAGATGGCCCATTTATAGATGGTTTACCTGTGTTTACCTATCAAAAATGGTGATTTTCCATGGCTATGTTAAATAACCAGATGGTATATTATATATATAATATATGGGGGTGGGTCAAAACCTATTACTATCAATTTTAGTGGGATGAACATCTATTTGCCAGCTATTTTGAGGTTCACTAGGTATACCACGGTTTTGATCCATGCCATATTAATGTATATGTATAGCAGGAGGTCATTCCATGTATCACCACGATCCTAATCGCCATGTTGTATATATATATATATATATATATCTATACATATGATACAAGTAGTATTAATGACAACAATAATAGTAATAACAGTATCGAGAATGATATATAGATTTCATGGGATTTAACCAACAAAAATGGGATTTAACCAACAATTGATTAGGGATTTTCGTGACATATTTTTCTAGATGTATGATGGGAAGATCATGGGAGATTATAACCAACAACATGTGCTATGGATAGTATATTTGGATGAACATAGCTATGACCTCACGTCGAACATTACATCACTCAAGTGATTAAAGAGGGCGCGAGAATCATCAAATGGCCCAAGATGATAACAGCTTTTTTCAGGTTAGTGATTTATGCATATCTACACACACATATATAATTACACACATATATATATATACATACTGTATATAGTAAGCCCCAAAAAAGACATTTTTTTTTTCCAGGATGGTATAGAGGATGTTTTGTCCATAGTTTCAGGTTTCCAACTTTTTTTGTATCTTTTCGGGCTCAAAATATACATAAGTATTTTCAACCATATTTGGGAGGGTGATCCCTAATGACGAGCATATTTATCAGATGGGTTGAAACCACCAATCAGGGAAGTATGGTAAGCAGTGGTGAATGGTAGCTGTGAAACAACTTGGCTGAATCTTATTCCGTCGAGGAAACAATCTGTTCAGGATCGTCATGCAGGGACGATCCGTCGATAGAAACTAGAATTCCGTACTTTGAAAGTAAATCGTGGATAGTTCTTTATGCAGCAATTGTGGTTGGTGAGGTACTTGAAATCCTAAAACCACTGGAAATTGGACTTCGTGGGACTCGCTTGACGTTGTCAAGCGCAAACTTGCACTCTGTCAAGCGCCCTAAAATGGTGGGTGAAACACCCAGCAGTCGGGATTCTCCCAGAACACCCTGGAAGAAGTTGTGTGGTTAAAATCGTTTAAAACTCAATTAATTAGCCCCAAATTTACCATACATGATATAAATGTCTGCTATATAAACCATACTTACATGGGTGTCATTTTCCGGGTTGTACTTCCTGAGGCAATGCTTGGATCTGGTGGCTGATGTGCTGTCAAGTTGTCGGCAAGAACAGACGAACATCGCAGCAGACATCAATCAAGAGTTGCAATCCATTTGGAAGCAGGAGGAGGGACATGGATGAAAATGGTGGGGTTCTAACATGTTCTAACATCAAATTGGATCAATGAATCTTATGGCAATCTGATGCTACCATTTTGCAGTTTCAAGAACTTCAAAATTTCATAGAGCTTAGATGATATGGAGGTTGAAACCCTTTTGTTCTATTCAGGTCACTCGTTTCAAACTGTTGCGTTGTGACACGCCGAGTCGCCGAGGATGAGCGTTATCACAAGATGGATGTCATGATCCATGAAATGGAACAGGGCTTACAGGCCATGGAGAGAAGTATTGGATCTATTGGCCGCTTGGATTGCTTGGATTGGCGTAGATTTTCAGTGATGTTAGGGCAGGATTTTTTGTAAACCCCCAGTATACCAACAAAAATATCTTAAAATAGGGGCTACAAAACTTCTATTATGTACAAAAATCATTGATCATTAATTTTGGTACAACAATGATTAATGATCAATGATTATCCCTCTAATTTTGGGATAATTTTATGTATAATTTTGGTGGTATCCCCCTAATGATTCAACACGCTTTATTCATCGTTAACATCATGGGACGAGTGTATTGCTGACTTCTGAAAGCTACTCACAAAAGGTGTCCCATTTTTTGGGTGGTTGAATCCGATTTGGAAGTTGGATGGTCATATATATAGATAATGATATACAGACACACACATATATAATTATATATATAATAATGTATATCTATAGATAACAATATACAGACACATATATATATATAATTATATATATAAGGATACTCATAATAATAATATTATACATAGGCTCGTCCTGGCTTCTGGAACTGCGGCAGCAGTTACGCACACGCGGGGTGGGGGGTGGGGTGGGGTGGGGTGGGATGTTAACGTTCATGTGAACTTGCGGCAGCAGTTGATGCTACGCACACGCGGGGTGGGGTGGGGGGTGGGGTGGGATGTTAACGTTCATGTGAACTTGCGGCAGGATGTTAACGTTCATGTGAACGGGACAAGTTTTACCAACCTAATTCAGGTTTGCGCGGTTCCAGAAGCGGGGACGAGGATGATGATGATGATGATGATGATGATGATGATGCTGATGATTATGATGATGATGATGATGATGATGATGATGTGATGCTGCTGATGATGATGATGATGATGCTGATGATGTGATGATGATGATGATGATGATGATGATGACGATGATGCTGATGATGATGTTGATGATGATGAGGATGATGATGATGAAAATGACCCAAATGAAACTTGTAAATTCCGGGACGAAATTTCGTCCCGGAATGGACAAGTTTTCCCAACCTAATTCAGGTGGTCCGCAGTTCCAGAAGCGGGGACGAGGCTATACATACATATATATATATAACAATATACATATATATATATATTTACAATTATGTATATAATACATATATATAACAATGTACACACACATATGTATACTTATATATAATAATAATAACAAAATAATAATAATAATAATAATATATATATATAACAATATACAGACACACACATAATTATAATTATAATTATATATATATATCCCCTGGTTCTGTCCCCACAGCCACTCTGATGGGAGACCATCCCAGGATGAACTGACCCAGTTTGCTCTGGATCCAATAGGAATCCCAGATTTTTTTCCCCATGATTTGCAGGCATTCCGAGTAAGATCCCCATGTTTGATGATGTGACTTTTCTAACAATCATCTCCAGATTTTCCCAGATTTTGATATCATTATGAAACCATTTTTTGAATCTAAAACCATCGAAAGCCATCTAAAACCATTTATTAATTTATTGTAAACCATATCTACAACCATCTAAAACCATGTTTTAATCATATCTGAACCCGTCTAAACCGTCATTCATTGGATTGGTTTTCCAGGGGAAATCTACACCGGAAACCATGGGTTTTAACATGAACATGTTTCAACCATGAAATATGAGGCTTTCCTGTAGATTTTCCCATATTTTCCCTGGAAAACCACGACAATTTGCAAGTTTTCCCCATATTTCATGGGGTTTTCCACCGGTTTTCCCATGGTTTCCTGTGGATTTTCCCACAAAAATTCCCTGGAGTTTACCCAGTGAGTCATGGCTCAGGTGTGTCCTTTAGCGGAACCAACTTCCAACAACTGGCCACGGTCCCTGAACGCTGCGAAACTGCACAGCTCTTGGAGGCTTTGGACTCACAGGTGCCGCGACAACATGGGGATATCATGTGGGATATATATATATATTATATATTATATTATATTATATTATACTATATTATATTATATTATATTATTATATTATATTATATATGATATTATGTATATATATATATTATATTATATTATATGTATATGATATTATGTATATATTATATTATATTATATTATATTATATTATATTATATTATATTATTATATTATATTATATGTATCTGATATTATGTATATATATATATATTATATTATATATATTATATTATATTATATTATATTATATGTATATGATATTATGTATATATATTATATTATATTATATTATATTATATTATATTATATTATATTATATCTTATTATATTATATTATATTATATTATTTCATATTATATTATATTATATTATATTATATTATATGTATATGATATTATGTATATATATAGTGTAGATATATTATACGTATATAATGCATGCATGTATAAAGAAATGTGTATACATATAACAATGTATATATATATATATATATGTCAATGATAATGCATATATCTATACATAAAAACAACAACACACACACAAAACATACAAACAAACACACACACACACACACGCCACACACACACACACTTCATATATGCCATTTGAATCCATTTGACATAGATATATAGTCCAAAAAATGACATGGACTTGTCCAAAGGTTGGGGATAACTGCCATTGGCAATTTGAAGGGAGGGACAGTTCCATTGTTTCTGTAGATCTTTCCTCAAGCTCAGTTTCTGATTTTTCATGGTGTTTTTAACTCCCAAAAGATGGCTGAACAATTGCTCAATGACAACTTCATCAGCCCCGAACAAGCCCTGAATCAGCCCTTAACAAACCCTGAATCAGTTCTCAATAAACCCTGAATCAGCTCTTAATGAACCCTGAATAAACTATGAATAAGCTCCTAGTTTATCGTAGTTTAATGCGCTCTTATTTGTCAATGCCTCGTTCCCCTCGGTGTTTTTGGCCTGCCTGAGCTTGTTTTGGTGAAGGTAGCACCGCAAAGGGTTTGTATCACCACTATCCAATCAACATGATATATCACATATCATTTGTGACACACCAAACTGTCTATCTAATCTGATCTAGATCTAAATCCAAATCGTACTCCAATTTTTTCATCTAGTTGCCATATGCAACTCGTCGCATCTAAATGGAACTTCCTCTCGAATTCCCATCCGATCCTTTCAGGATGAACAGAGCTGTGTGGGCCGACTGGATACCAAGCTCCAGGACTTGGGTGAAATAATGCACCAGCTGAGTCACAAGGCGGGAACGTTGAGCTATGTTGAGCTGTTGGAGGTGAGCTGCATCAGTTGATAGGTGGTAGAAATCCCAGAAATCCCACTGATAGGCAGTTTTCCTGCATCCGAAATTGGTGGTGGATTTCGCTATTTTTAGCCTTGATGGGCCACAATTCGCAATGGAATAGCTGGATAAAAAAAGGGGGAACATCACATGGATTAAGTATAGTTGATAAACCCCAGAAACTAAGATTATTATCATAGTCATATCAATCAACCATATTACCATTATTATCATAGTCATATCATAGTCATTTTGTTACCATTATTATCATGTTACCATAGAATTATCATAGAATTATCATAGTCATATCATAGTCATAGTCATATCAACCATAGAATTCACCGGAAGTTTATCAAAAAAACCATGGGAACGCCATGAAGGCCATGGATACCAGCCCCAAGGACTTTTGGAAAATGGGGTAAACCATCCCATCTGGTAGGTAAAAATGGCAACGAACTTATCACAACAAAAACAGTTGATGAATGATGATGAGATATGATGAGTTCCGAGTTTTTAGCCTATCCACAAAAAATCCACAAAAAAATATGGGCATGATCGCAATCCATGAACTGGGACATGGATCAGACACCTGGAAGCGTGGTGTCTTCTGGTTGATTCGTAGGCGCAAAGGACGTCGGAACTCAGAGAGATCGTCTGGAGATTGGAACTCAGCTTGCGAATGCTGAACGACGGCAAGGGCGTGATCCCCATGAATTGTTTCATTCGAGAGGAGCAACAGAAGAAGCTCGTGTCCAAGGAGGAACGTGAGCCTTCCAAAGATGAAGATTGAGACACAACTCGAGTGCAGCAGATGAATGAGACATGTAGCATGCTGTAGCATGCTGTAGCATGCTGTAGCATGGTGTAGCCTTTGACTCCCCGATGATCTGACATTTCCATTTCAGCCCAGGATACTACACATGATTTTTGGATCGGATTAGTAGCTGAGCTGAGGGATCCAGGTACTGACACCACCAGCAATTGAGCAATGTTCAAGACCCCGAGTGGTTGATATTGAGGATGATCACAATCCGTTATGAGAAACCCTATTAACCAATTTATGGTGATCTCATGGTGATTTTTCCCTGATTTTCAGGGAGCTAGTGACGTGCTACACCATGGAAAATGATGGAAAATGGCCATTGTGGCAAACGGTCGCCAGTCGATGCTCCTCTAAAAGAGGACTTCATCGAGACGCCACACAAAAAGCGCTCCGGACAACAAAAAGAGAAAAGCCTGGACTCAATGCAAAAAATCGGGATTAAGATGCAACAGTGAGTAATCCAGCCCAAAATTTGTGGTTAGTTTGTTGGTGCGTCATACTAAGTCATTAAATGGGGATTATGAACAACATGCATAAACCGTATAAACCATCCATTTTGGGTACTCCATTTATGGAACCCCCCATATAAAATTGCTTGGCGGTTTCAATTTTTTTTCGGACTTCCATCCCTGGAAAGATCCCGTGATGAAGCGATGGTGGTTTGCACTGAAACCACCAATCATTGGGCGAGTTTGTTGGATACATTAATTACAAGAAAAACAACCTACAAACTGGCAGTGGTTCCCGGTATACATTTCCTCTTCAGCGAGAATGAAAGGGCCTCAATTTCTGCCTCGCAAACGCAGGTGTGTTTGATGGTGGTTGGTCCTTTTGCCCCCTGCTTGAAGGCTCAAAGTTATAAGAAAACTATCTAAAGCTTTGAAATCCTGGTACCAGTTGTGGCATCTTCCCATGGCTGTTAAAACAATTCCTATGGATAATCATCCCAGATTGCCATGGCTGATTTTGAAGTCCCATGGCTAGTCATCCTATGGCTCTTTTGAAATCCTATGGCTGATTTGAGAAAACCCAAGAAAAACTGTAGCCAGATGAATCACGCAGCTTTGAAAACCCCATGGTTTTCGGCGCAGCCGGCCGCCATGTAGCAGCTTGCCGAAACGATGAGGGTAAGGCACCTGCAATCACACCTTCACGTGCCTTGGCGGCTTTTCAGCGCTGGCTAAGTGAACTAAGTGAACCAAGTGGATGCTGATTGTAGGGTTTCTATCCCAATTTATGCGGTTGATTACCATGGTTTTTTTTCGCCGTTATACACCGTTATACCATTAATAATCCCAACTGCACGCCTAAGTGTGGTGAGACATGTTAGATCAATACGGGTTTGATATCTGAAGACAGGGGCTTACCATGGCTTACCCCAAAATTGCTGTTTGAATTGGGACAAAACATGAAAACTGATAAAGAACCTTGGTTTCTTTGTGGGTAATGTCGTTCAAACAATAGTAAACCATCTCCAAATCACCATACACGGGTGGTATAAACCATCAAACATGGGGTGGTTTATTATTGTTTTACCCACATGAGCGTATTTTCAGACAACCCAATAACAACATCTCCTACAACTTCGAAGCATCGCAGTGGTTTTTGCTTCGATCTGAGGATGAAAAGCTTATCTATCAGCACAAGCTTCAGGCAACTCGTCGCCAAAAGCGGTCCGTGTACTCTGCCAAGAGATCTGGCTGAGGTTTCCATAGGTTTCCCATATGATGGGTTCATTTCAATAGCGACCAGAAGATTTTGGCATGGGGAAATCAATGGCCGTGCACTTAAACCAGGTATTTTGAGGTCAGAAAACATGTGGCCCTGGCAACAAATCATGAACATGTTTGCCCCAAGTTCCACAGCTTTGAGCTTTGTCTTCAGGGGCCGGTTTCAATCAAAAAAACACCAAAAACAAGGGTCAGGTGCAAGTCGGTTTGGGAAATACAAAACAGCACTCTTTCTGGTGCTTGGTCGGGAATGGGGAATGATCTATAATAATTATCAACATCTATAAACACTCATCCTGTTCCCCCATTCGCTACTAAGCATCAATAAACATTTTCCCCAAAAACATCTCTATAAGCTATAACAGTCACAACAGGAATATTTACTAACCAAACGATATATATATATATAAATAGGTAGGTTAACCTTGATTAGATTCTTTAGTACTTTTTTTTTGTTATCAATGGTAAACTGTACTTACCAGCTAAAAACTCGTTATTTTTTGGCAGGTATCTACAATTCACCATGAAAATGGCCCTCTGAGTTAAAATGATAACTTATCAAATGGAGGTTTCCTAAAATGGGGGAATGGGGGTAAAACCATGGGTTTTAACGAGAAAACTGTCCAATTTTAGATGATTTGGGGGTACCCCTATTTTAGGAAACTCCCAAATGGTCCGCCAAATGGTATAATCCCCAAAAAACATCTGCGCCCCAAGTTGCAAGGCCTTGCAAGGGCAACGTTTGGGCATCGATGCCGTTCATTGGTTGCGTTCCATTCAGGCGGGTGTAGCGCAAGCGAAATAAGACATTGTTGTGTCGTTTCACCATGACAGCTAGGGGATTAAATTGTAATTTCATGGGATTTAATGGAATCTTACCGGGATTTAATGGGATGTAGTAGGATTGAATGGTTTTTTTCTGGGATTTACATGGGAATATGATGGTATAGTGATGAGAATATAACCATCATTCAACCATAAAATAGGGATTTTACCATCATTTGATTGGACAATGATGGGAACCAGATGAGAACGTTTGACCATGATGGGATAGTAATTGAATACGAATAAATTTGAATATGGGAACCTTTGGCCAAGAGGATGAAACTCAGCCAGTGGATTCGCGATGGGAGAATCACTGGGGGATTCTCACAGCCACTGGAGGCTTTTCACATGTTGAGAGTGAAAAAATCTCACTATTTGAGGTACAATCATGTACTCTTAATATAGCATCCACTTTTTCATGAACAGGTTGTGTTTTTGGAGTTGACATTCACACATTTTTTTAAGGGACATAAGCCAAAGAACGTCCAGGGTGATCAGTGGGCTTTAAGTTTTTCACAACGGACAAAACACGGGAACAATGGGACACCCCGTAAAATCATAAACCGTTGGATGTATTAGACATGGGCTCCATACACCTAATCCTGAAAATTGGAGGTTTCAGGCATTCGGTTTGTTACATGACCACAGTCAATTCAGAAGTTGTGGACGGAGTAACCAAACTCAATCAACATATTAATCAAAATCATCCCTGGTTGGTGGTTTGGAACATGAATTTTATTTTCCATTTCATATATGGGATGTCATCCTTCCCATTGACGAACTCACATTTTTCAAGATGGGCACATTGCACCACCAAGCAGATCAACATATGGATCCCTAAAGATCACCAAAAACCATCGACCGAACATGATCAGCCAAAACGCTGCTAGGCCCTTAAGGATCCATTTGCTGATGCCTTGGGAGGGGTTCCTCCTGGTATTTTTGGCGTCGTGGACAAGGACGAGCCCAAGATGGTGGGTTGTTTCGCAGGGAAAAAAGTCTCGATGTTTTAATGGCGGGATATCCCCAAATAGATCCATTTATAGCGCTCAAATAAAATGGAAAACTGCAAAAGTCATGATCAATCCCAGAATTTTGATGGATCTTGGGGGGGGGTTCCCCAGAATTTGCAGACAAACCATCGGACCACCACTGATGAAGTGCCGAGAAAAGCGCGCCACTGCAGGAGCTGGAAGGATTCCGTAGACTGCAAATCACACCAGTCTTCATTTTTCAAGGGATGACCCCTGGACCCAAGCACTCCATGTTTGTGAATCGAAGCTTGGCGGAAAGCGGACGCTTGGGATGTCGGGATGTCCGGTTTTTTGCTGCACAATGATGTCGTCAATGCTTTACATTGAATGCTTTCCTGTCAAAAAATTAACCCAACATCAACCAACCTTGGGAGCTAAATCTGGATTGGACTGGAAGGAGCAGCAGACCCTTCCAACATCTTCCAACCATTTCCAACCCAGGTCCAACCGTCCAAGCCACGTCTTTTTCATGCCGTGTTCACCACACCGAGGAATGGATCAGCAAATGATGGACGCCTGGGCGCTTTTGGCCAGTGGCCACAACAGTGAGGCTTGGTGAAGCCAAAAAAAGCACCCGGGTTATGTCAGTTGACTATACCCTCTGGTAAACTAACATAACTATGGAAAATCACCATTTTTGATGGGTAAATCCACTATTAATGGCCATTTTCAATGGCTATGTTAATTTACCAGAGGGTAAGCGATAATTACAGATAATTATAGAGAACTATATAGGATACAGTATGTGTTTAATGTTTATTTTTATCTTACTGGCGCTTAGCAGGGAATGGGGGAATGATCCACAATAACTATCAATAATCATCCCATTCCCCCATTCATCTATTCCCTACTAAGCACCAGTAAGTTAATTTTTACGTTTGTTATTGTTTCATGTGTATCCATTTGTTGGGTGGGTCGACCACGTTGCGCGTTTTTCTGTTTCATGTGACAGAGATTCGTGATTCCTTTTTTATATCAGAGTTTCCTCTCCCGCTGCGAGGGAGTATCATGGGGATTGATAGGGATTTTCATAGTGACTGATGGGAGAATATCCATCCCCCATCAACACTATTAATCCCTATCAACACTATTAATATTGATGGGATAGGGATTGTCATAGTGACTCATGGAATATTCATGTGAATATCATGGGAGAATATCGCTATTTTCAACAAGTGATAAAAGTCAGTTTTTTTTGGGATCATCCCCCAATGGCCCAAGATGATACCCTCTGGTAATTCACAGTAGTTTAATGGGAAAATCCACATGTTTAAATATTTTTAATAGGTAAATCATCATACATCGTCTATTTCTATGGGCCATAGCTGCCATAGCTGCCATAGCTATGTGGAATAACCAGATTAGTAATTAGTAATAGCTATTTTCAGGTTAGTGAATTCTTGCAATTCAGGCACTTATAGTTACGAGGTTGTACCAACATTCACCCCCTTGAAATTCGCCCAGTGATGTGCAGTAGGTAAATTTGCCAGCAAAGAATTGCGGTGGGAAGGGAAAAAACATCGGCGAAAAAAAACCATCCATAGCGTCTTTTTCAAACAGGCTCGCACCCATACTTGTGGGTGCAGTCGTTTCGAACGTATTTTTGCATATTTGTATGCAGTAATATAATATATATATATACTGGTTGGTGGTTTGGAACATTTTTTATTTTTCCATATATCGGGAATGTCATCATCCCAACTGACGAAGTCATATTTTTCAGAGGGGTAGGTATACCACCAACCAGATTATAACATTTTTTGGATCCCAAGTTATGCGGATTCATACCTTGGTCCAACGCTTCTGCTATTTATTTACCCTCTGGTAATTTAACATAACTATAGAAAATCACCATTTTCAATGGGAAAATCCACTATAAATGGCAATTTATAGTGGATTTTCCCATTAAAAATGGCCATTTTCAATAGCTATTTTGACATAACCAGAGGGTATTTAGCACTTCAACTCATTCCCCCTTGGTCCAGCGAACGCACGCCGTTCCCCGCGAGGCTCAGAAGTTTTTTGCGGTCTCAACCAGCCGCATCAATGGCCACTGGGCCCGGTTGGTGACTCTGGTGGGGACAACCGGCTGGTGAGATTCATATTTAGATATTCCTACAATATATATATATGTATATAAGTCATAATGATTCATATTATAGAGACATATATGATTTATCCACAACATATCTATTAGTACATATATATATATATACATATTTATGACCCTCTGATCGTAAATGAACAGTTCTTTCCTGAAAATAAGCCACTAAATTTAGTGGTAAACCACTCATCTTCCAAGCCCTACAGTATCTACCAGGGTCGCGGATTCGCCTGGCTCAGAATTGAGGCGATTTCGTCTATTTCATCTTTCAGCACATGCGCTACCGTGGCTGCGAAGTGCTGCAAGCACCATACTTTGCAGGTACCATGGCTCTGATGGTCAAATATCATATATATATATATATTACATATAATATATATATATAATATATGCGTATATATATATATGTTATATATATATATGATATAATGTATACATATAGGTGTTTATTACACATGACAGAGACATAATGTGTATATAATTTGATACATAAAATAAATACATACATATATATTATATATATACATACTTTTACACATGTTTACGGACGATTGCATGTATCCACAGATCTGCAGATCTCCCTTTCGATCTGTTTGCTGCCAGGAACGCAGCTGGTGCACTTTGCTGAGCAGGGAGTAGTCCAGGCAGTTTTCGGCCCGCCAGGTTTGTTGAAGCTTGGCATCATGGAGTTAGCTCGGATAGCTTGGACATTGGGGAATTAACCAAAAACATACCATCTGATACCATCCAGTAAACTAACATAGCTATGGAAAATCACCATGTTCAATAGGATTTCAATAGGTAAATCATCTATACATTATACATTGGCTGTTTTCTACAGCAAGGTTGAATTACCGGTACATGGATTTAATCATCAGTCTGATATGGCTTTGTTCAAACAGGGTGGATTTAGCTTCATTTTATGGCCGTTTGTTTTTGAAAATGATGGGTTTTCACGGATTTTATCTCTTATCTACGTTTTTATTTTTCACCCTTGCCAAGCGTCATGAGTGTTACAACTGGTTGGTGGTTTGGAACATGACTTTTATTTTTCCATATATTGGGAATGTCATCATCCCAACTGACGAAATCATATTTTTCAGAGGGGCGGCTCAACCACCAACCAGACAATAGTGGGGATCTGATTTCTGGATCTCTTGTGGTAGCAACGATACTCCTGGGGATTGAAGCATCGATACTGGATTTTCACGCTGTAATCATCCTAATACATCGTCTTTTTCTATGGGCCATAGCTGCCATAGCTGCCATAGCTGCCATAGCTATGTGGAATAACCAGAGGGTAATAGCTATTTTCATGGTTGAAAGCAATTGTAGCATCCTGAATCAACTTGCTCGGCGTCTGCCTGGCTTGTAACATCAGGAATCCAACAAAAATTATGGTTTCGGAAAGGGAAGAGCTGCGCGCCATTCCATTTTTTTTGCCGTGAAGCCCGTGAAGGCATGGCTCAGGATTGAATCAGCTCCAGGACTAAAAACTGACTCTCTTGACTCGCAGCTGAGGCTTTTTGGTCTCAGCAAAGTGGTATCTTGGCATTGCATGGCACTGCATTTTTTGGGGTCCAGGAACGACTCCCCCGCCCCAGCCCCAGCACCAACAGCCATCAGATCATCAACATCGACTTCCAAAACGTGCTCTTCGATTGGATCGATTTGGAACGCATCCTGGAGAAATGGAGCCTCGGAGGGCCATGGAAAACCAGCGGCGCATAGCGGCGTTTTCGGGGTGTGACTTCCGGGCTGTTTTGGAAGCCATGGATTGATTTTTCTCCGTCCTGTGGGATCCATGGCCTCTGTGTAGATGCTTCTGTGTAGAAAAAAGGCTGTTCTGTGTCAAAGCTGCCCTGTGTCAAAGCTGTCTGTTTGTTTATCTATTTATCTATCCATCCATCTATCTGTCGATTGTCTATGTATCTATCTACCTGTCTCGTCCCCATCCGATCATCCGCTCCCAGCATCCCAGCATCCCAAGTGGTCCCAAATGGGATTCCCCAGGACCATGACGCGGGAGCAGTTTGTGGACGCCTGCATGTTGGCTGGAACGGAGTATTGTCTCACCTTCCCCTACTTGCAGGTGGATCAGGCCGACCACAGAAGCCTCACTTTTGTTCTGTTGGTTTTGATTGGCCTTGAGATGTTTCCACAATCCACTATCACAACAATTGTGGCTTGGTTTTTATCCCACTACTTCTCCATCATATCATATCATATCATATCCATATCCATATCCATATCCACATCCATATCCATATCCATATCCATGTTTTTCTTCAGTGAAATCCACATCTGTTGGATGGTTTTTTCACCGGCCCGGCAGGTGATGCGCTTCAACTTCGATGTGGAGTCTCGGCAGTCTTCGATGTGACCCCGAACAAAGAACAGCTGGGAACCACTTTCACACTGGGTTGCTTCAATCATACCCTCTGGTTATTTAACATAGCTATGGAAAATCACAATTTTTAATGGGAAAATCCACTATACATGGCCATTTTCAATAGCTATGTTAAATTACCAGAGGGTAAATGATTTTCCACAAGGTTCACAAAAACATGTGTATATGGAATATAACATGATTTTGATTGATGATATTGATGTTGTCTCTGAAAAATCTCTTTACTTGCCAATTATTCTCCCCAAATGTATCTGGAGGGAGCCTGACTGATGAAGCAAGGCCGTGAATGTAGCGAAGCAAGCTCCGTTTCTTTGGTGGCAACTGTGGCAGACCATGGGTCCATTTGGGGCTGTCCGGTGCGGACACCCCGGAAGGATAGGCAAGTTGGGGCACGTTGGTAAACATGAGGAGGCTAAGGTCCGATTGTATTTTGGATAGGAATCTTCCTGCTGTAACGGGCGCCAGGGAAAAATGGGGGAATGTCATAATGTCATTGCTGGATCTCTAAGAAAGCCTGGTTTTGTATTGAATACTTGAATATGTTCATGTTGAGGTCCTATGTTTATTTCTGGGGTATGGGATTAATAACACGTTTTTTTCGGAAAAACATGTTTATGGAAACCGTCATTGTTGCGAACATCTCCGATGCAATTTATACAATTTGTTCTACTACAATCACTGGTGACCCAGTAGCGGAACTGGAGCTGTTGATCATGTCCACAGAGTCCCTCAACTGGTCTTATCATCTTTAAGTTTCATCCCATAAATGGATTACAGTCCCATTACTACAAGTCAATCAGTACCCTTGTTCGATATATCATGACATATCTCTCTGTTGGTGGCCTTCTAAACTGCATGTTTACTTTGATATTTCCAAGTTCGGTGATATTCTTAGATGCAAAACAGAGCCTGATGATGCAAGTTGGCCCAGTTATTCGCATGCATATTCCCAAGTGTTTTCCACTTGGATTTATGTATTCCCAAGAGTTATAGCAAGTATCTGTGTACCCTCTGGTTATGACTAACATAGCCATGGTATAGATGACCCATTTATAGATGGTTTACCTATTAAAAATGATGATTTCCCATAGCAATGTTAGTCATAACCAGAGGGTATATTCTCGAACAAAGGTCCCAGTGTTTTCCAGGGATTCCCTTCCGCCTTTTTGCGGAGCTGAGCAGCTGAGATCAGCTGAGGCTGGTACAATGGATGCATACCTTCCCAACAGAGGAGATCAAGGCGGGAGTTCACCATTTGTTTTCACCATCAAAGTGGAAAAAAACAGGAAACATGTGGTAAAATAGTGATTGATATAGTGATGTTATATGATTTTATAGTGATTCCCAATGGGAAACCAAGAAAGATTGGGGCTCTGCCTCTGGTCATTTCACAGTTTGCGAACGGGAACATCACCATTTCTTGAAACGGGTAAATCATCGACTAAATGGGGCATGTTCCAGCATTTCCAGGGGGTATACCATGTAAAAACCGTTGGTTTCTCATTTGTCCATGATTCATATGGTGCTTGGTTGCAGTATCGAAGCGGTTGTTCGGAAACATCGCCAAACGCATTTCGGGAGATCGGAGATCGGCGATATGACTTGGAAACCTTGATGAATCGATGGTTTCTTCATGAGCAACTCATCAGGCCTATCGTTTTCTTTTTGTTAAGCAGTTCTTGGGGGGAAGGAGAATTCTGGATGACCAGTAGCCACCAAAGGCAATCTTAGTCTCAGATGGTCAAGTGAAAGATATTTTTTTTCCCCACCTGCCAGGTGAGGGTTGTTAGATTTTATGTCAGTTGCCTCCTCCTCCTCCTCCTTCTCCTCCTTCTCCTCCTCCTCCTCTCCTCCTCCTCGTCCTCCTTGTCATCCTTGTCGTCCTTGTCGTCCTCGTCGTCCTCGTCGTCGTCGTCCTCGTCGTCCTTGCTCAACTGCGACCCGCGATCCACAGTGTTCTCTGCCGGACCTCAACCACGATCACCCACGCCTAGTGTTCCCTGCCGGACCTCAACCACGACCAGCCACGCCCAGTGTTCCCTGCCGGACCTCAACCGCGAGTATCCATGCCAAGTGTTCCCTGCCGGACCTCAACCACGACCATCCACGCCCAGTGTTCCCTGCCGGACCTCATGTAGGAAGATAAAATGTAGATAGAGTGCCAGAAGATTTGCCAGGTAGAATGCCAGAAAATATGCCAGAAGATATGCCAGATAGATATGCCAGAAGATATGCCAGATAGAATGCCAGATAGAATGCCAGATAGAATGCCAGAAGATATGTCAGAATATATGCCAGAAGATATGCCAGATAGAATGCCAGAATAGATATGCCAGAAGATATGCCAGATAGAATGCCAGATAGAATGCCAGAAGATTTGCCAGATAGAATGCCAGAAAATATGCCAGAAGATATGCCAGATAGATATGCCAGAAGATATGCCAGATAGAATGCCAGAATATCAGAAGATATGTATGCCAGATATGCCAGAAGATATGCCAGAAGATATGCCAGATAGAATGCCAGATATGCCAGAAGATATGCCCAGATAGAATGCCAGAAGATGCCAGATAGAATGCCAGAAAATATGCCAGAAGATATGCCAGATAGATATGCCAGAAGATATGCCAGAAGATATGCCAGAAGATATGTAGATATGCCAGAAGATATGTCAGATAGAATGCCAGATAGAATGCCAGAAGATGAGATAGAATGCCAGAAGATATGTCAGATATGCCAGAAGATATGCCAGATAGAATGTGCCAGATAGAATGCCCAGCCAGATAGAATGCCAGATAGAATGCCAGAAGATTGCCAGATAGAATGCCAGAAGATCTGCCAGATAGAATGCCAGAAGATATGCCAGATAGAATGCCAGATAGATGCCATGATAGAATATATATAGAATGATAGAATGCCAGAAGAATGCCAGAAGATATGCCAGAAGATATGCCAGATAGAATGCCAAATAGAATGTCAGAAGATATGTCAGATAGAATGCCAGAAGATGTGCCAGTAAGAACATGTATAAATGTCATGGTGGGGATCACACGAAGTAAAGTAATTGCGTTTTTCTCACGTTTCCTCTCGTTTTTTTTCCTGGAAGATGGGGACGGGCGAAAGAAAATCAACCCCCAAATACACGAAAAGGCAATTGTCATAGGGAACCAGATGATAAACTACTGGATGTTCCAGCATTTTCCCATCATTTTCCCAGCATTTTCCAGCATTTTCCCATGGATTTTCCCATGGATTTTCCGTCTCGGTATCGCCCGCTGGATCAAGGCAGATCACATGGAGGGCTACTGCGTTTGCAGCTGCCTTAGTTCGGAATCGAAGCAATGGACAGCCCGTGATTTTCATAGGGATTAATTAATGGGATATTAATGGGATATTAATGGGATATTAATGGGATATTAATGGGATAACATTTAATATTAGCTAATAGATATTTAATGGGATATGAATGGGATATTCATGGGCTATTCATGGGATATTAATGGGATGAGAACAAGGCAGGGGTCAAACCGTTGGTGATCTTTATCCGTCTCATTGAGGATTGTTATGTCAGCTCCAAATTTTTGAAAACGACCCGGTCTATCATGTTTTTTTTTCCACTTGATATTGCAAAAAGACACGCATTTTCTCATTGATATTCATTGGTCATCAGTTTTGTGAGATGAACACATAGGACAATTTCTCATTGAAATTCATTGATAATCATGTAGAAATTCATTTTGGTGAGTTTTTTTCATAGGACAAAACCATGACTTGGTACCATTTTGTACCCTCTGGTAAACTAACATAACTATGGAAAATCACCATTTTTAATGGGAAAATTCACTATTTCTATGGCAATTTTCAATAGCTTTTTGTATGTTTACCAGAGGGTACCTTTTTCAAATGGTGGGTTTTTGGTGCCCGAAAACACCATCGGGCACCATCTCGATGCCAAGGCAAGCTTCTCATCCAGAGCTCACCGGTGTATAGTGTGACGGAGAATGCCGTCACCTGGAGCTGTTTTCAAAACTTTGTTTCGGCTGGTTTTGGATTAATATACTGTATGTATGTATATATATATATTTGATAATTATATATACACATACATACATAACATAACATAACATAACATAACATTGCATTACATTACATTACATTACACTACATATATATATATACAGGTTCATGAGAAGATATGTTATTCGCCTAAGACTTTCAGAGAAAGCCACCGCCGAAAGATCACGGGGATCAGCTCAGGTGAGACCCTCAGCTTTGTCGGGTGCAGTGCCGAGCGACTACCCGGCAGTTCTGGGAGCCTTACTGCCCAGCAGTTTGTCGCTTGGTGGTTACTGTGCTTAGCCGTTCGGGTGCGAACGTTCTAAGATTTGCATGTGTTTTTGCTTTCGGTTTTCGGCCATTATCAGTAAATCCAAGTCAAGTGTTTGTTTTGAACCTCTGATATTGATTTCGTGGTCAATGATGGCATGTGATAACAGCGAAAATGGCAAATTGAAGGAAGTCAGGCTTGGTTGTTCTGTAGGAGTTGCTGGCTCGGCATTCACATCTATCACATCTATCGGAATCTATGTGAGATCCACCCAATGCCAATTTGTCCCATCTTCACGTTTGAGCTTGGTCTATGAAATTTAGGGGACCTCAAAGTGACTGGGATGTGAACTTGTAAAATGACCCAGTCACAGTTGGTCATGGGATGGTGACGCTATTGGGATGATATGGATGATTGAGTGGATGTCATAATTTCCACAGTCTCACTGTCTCACTGGCTGGACAGCCATGGTTTCCGTCGCAGCTTGCCGAGCCGGAGGTATTTTCTGATCGTCAGCGGAGTTCTTTCAGCAAAGCTTCCTCAGGTCAGCAAACAGCCTCTGGCGAGTCTGGCGGGCAACAGGGAAACACGACAGGAAAACTTGAACAAATGGATGGAAGAAAGCAACGGTATCCCGTGCAAAACACGTGATTCCAAAGAAATCGCCAAACAAATCGGACGTTTTTTAAGATGGCTTTGTCTGAAAATGGGTGCAAAACCCCAATTCCAATTAATATAGAGGTTCCAACAAAAAGATAGGTTATATCGTATCTCCAGGAGGATATAGAATATATAGAAGATGATGTTTTCCTATAGGTTTTTCCCCATTGGTCTTGTTCAAGTTTCCTGCTACTAGGCACTGGCCAAAGGAGAATGGCTGGACAAGTCGCAACCGCTGGTGGATACACAGGCAGCTGGCTCCAAATTTGGTCAAAATTTGGGGAGTACCCTCTGGTAAACATACAAAAAGCTATTGAAAATGGCCATAGAAATAGTGGATTTACCCATTAAAAATGGTGATTTTCCATAGTTATGTTAGTTTACCAGAGGGTACGGGTACCCTATGAAGGACGGCAATTGTAAGAAAATTACATGGATAAACCATGATAAACCATGGGATTCAGATTGCCCACGCATGATGGCAATCTGAATAGAAGACATGATGATGCACCATCGGATTTTGAGTAGCCAATTTTCAGACAAACCAGGCAAGAGTCAGAAAGCTTTGATATAAAGTTTGGGTGGGCGACCAGTGGCCAAAATATACCAAGATCCTTTGATATAAAAATATTTTGGATTTCCCCCTGTCCAACAGAAATTTTTCGAGGTTGCCAGGTTTGTGGCGCTAACAGGATCGGTTGACAGAGTGTTCAGCTTTCTGCCTGAGAGCTTCCCAAATGCCATAGGGCAACCCTGGAAACTGAAAAACAGTCAGGATTTCAGTCTACTGAGCGGAGATTAACTAACTTGTATTCAGACAGTGCTGTTGACGATGGGGATGACAACGATGATGAGGATGATGGAGACTTTGATGACGATGATGACAATAACAATGACGGCGACGCCAACGAAGGCGGCGACGATGATGAGGATGATGAGGATCATGAGGAGGATGAGGATGAGGATGAGGATGAGGATCATGAGGAGGATGAGGATGAGGATGAGGATATGATCAGGATATGATCAGGATCAAGATTTCATCCGACGAGGATTTCAATAAGCAACACACAGATCTAATCCCTCGCGCCATCCGCCAGGAGTATCGTCAGTTGCTCTCCGAAGCTTGGAGCATCAGGCCATCAGTGGTGACCTAAAGGGTACCTGATTTCCATCCGGTTCATCATCATTGTATCATCATTGTATCCTCGAAAAGAACTCGCCATAGGGGCTACACCCAATTTTCACACCCTAAGCTTTTCTTTCGGATCCAATGTCACCAAGCTCACCCGACATTGCCAGAATCAGACATCGACCAGCTATTGGTGGGATGAATTGGTGGGAAATTTGCAGGAGACCCCCCCCCATATTTGATAAAAATACCACGGTTCCTGTCAAATCCTCTTAAATGTCCCTTTGAGCCAATCCATTCAAAGATATACCCTCCTTTGTACAAAAAAACATGGCAAGCTGGAAAATTCCCGAAAATTGATGATTCATTCTAAATGGACGTTTATTAATATAGCTGGGAACCTCAACTATAAATGGTGGATGGATTCCATTTCTATGTTTGGCATCCACCATTTATAGCTGTCCAGGTGTCATTCCCAGCCGCCAAGGACTTGACGGACTATCGCCAACGAGCCCTGGGTCTTATCGCGCGTCACTTGCCGCCATACTTTCGAAATAAGCGCAGCTCGGCGGAGAGAGCTACGGGTGCAGTTTCCGGTGGAGTTGTCCGGAAAAAGCCATAGAACTCATAGAACAGACTCCACTCATGTCCAATTGGTTGCTTGATGTTGATGGCAATTTCCTTCCAGAAACTGGTGAAGAACTGGGCATTCGAAAGTGCAGCCACGGAAAAATAACCGTCTCAACCATCGGATTAGAGGGCTACTATGGACCATATATCATTAGCTTTAAAACCGCGATCATCACCAAGTGTTGTAGGATATTGCAGGCTACACTCCCTGAATTCTGATATGGCAGAACATGTTAAAATTCATCCGATGTGTCCCCCAAAATCACCAAACCTATCGAAATCCGCGTCGCCAGGCATTCTTTGCAAGGCTTTTTGGGAGCATTTGCAAAACCGTCGCACGGCAGACCCTGGTCGAGCCAGGTGCTAAACGCCCAGTGATCAAAATTTTATGGTTCCATCAGCCAAATCATCCCATCCGCCAAAGACTGTACTTTTTAAAACCACCCCATAAATGGTCTGAATAAGTGTAAATCCCCGGTTGGGTGTTTAGTATAGCGAGGGCTTTCCTGCAAAAAGTCAGAGAGGATTTTCCACCATGTAAGGCCAGATGTTCTGGGGATATTCCATTCCATAGCAGTTACATAAGCCATATATATTTTATCTGGTTTGTAGTTTGGAACATTGTTTATTTTTCCATATATTGGGAATGTCATCATCCCAACTGACTTTCATATTTTTCAGAGGGGTGGCTCAACCACCAACCAGTTACGGTACCTTCAATCTAATTTTTTGTTGTCCAAATTCTTCACAGAAAAATTGGATGGTCGGGTCCATGAATCCTTTTGGAGGACAGTTTTGTGCCTTTTTCCAAATTTTGGATCCGGCCAAATCCTGTGGCTTTCGCGCCATGTTACTTCAAATCCCAAGGATCGCTACGATGGCTTTCGGGAAAAAAAAACAATTGGGTCCAATAATGTCAACCCCGGATTCATAAAGTATGGTTTATTCATTAGGGGGTATTCCCCACTCAGAGTGACAATCTGATACTTAAATGGTACCAGCCTTTTTTTTGAACAGCCGTTTGGGGTTTATTAATCCAGGGTTGACATTAATTGGTAAATCTCAAACCCATAGATTCGGTGTGTGAACCTCCGATCCATGCTCCCTGGTGTAATGCTTGTCTTCCCATGGCACCAGGCGTTATTTGCAGCCTGAGAAGATGCAGGAGATTACTGATGAGTTGGGTGATCTTAGGTGAAGTTTGATTCTTTAATCTGTTGCATTCTTTATCAATGTGTTGCATTCTTCTACCGTACATGTGGATATATATGTATATGGTATATGTAAACATGATAGCCAGCCACAAAAAATGCAGGCTATCTATCTAAGTTGTTCAATATACGTATATACGGACATACATACATATGTATTGTGTATTCTTAAACACACATATATCAATAGATATAACCGGCTATTCATAACTCAGCCCTAAGCATAAGTGTTTTTCTACCCCATCGCTGGCCGGTGAAAGCGTTTCCAGGACATCATTCGATGGAACATCAATGCCACAAATGTGGCGCAGGAGCTGCACAGACAGAGCATCAAGAAGGCATGGAAAAACAAGTTGGGAAGTTTTAACCAGTTTTAACCATAGATTGATATAGATGATTTAACAAGTTGGGTAAATCATCTAACATCTTTTCCATAGAAAATCAGGGTTTTTTATGGCTTGACGATGGTCATGTGCGTCAAAGCCCTGGGCACTGGTGAACCAACCACTGCAACAGCTAGGAATCCATCATGTCCCGATAAGCCAATTAAGATACGCCAGGTATGTGATTGGGACTTCAAGAAGATAAGCACAACTTTGTATTGCATGATCTGTCATAAGCAGTCGGTGTTGGTTCATTGTTCAGGGGATTTATGTATGGATCACCATGTTTGTTTGTGGAACAACTATTATTCTATAACCAAAGTTCGAGAACCAGAGATGCCAAAAGTGCAGTCCAAATGTTGGAGTCTTCAAGTGCATGTCAGTTGCAATGTTCCAGACTGCTGGGTGGCGCATTACAGAGCATGCTTTGTCTCAAAAAGAGAGTACTGTAATATTCACGCTCTAGTATTTCTCATCAACAATGGTTGCCTCACTGATTGGTCTGCAATTCATGCCCATGTGAAAGAATTTGCGTGGAAGTGGAGTAATTTTTGCCCAAGAGTTGACTCTTCACGAGCTCTTCTCAATCCTCAATCCTTTTGCAATGCCTGCTGCGGGCTACAATCACACCGTGCTACTCAAAAGTGATGGGAATGCTGTCGCTTTTGGAGACAATTCCTATGGACAATGTGACATTCCACCCCTCGAAGCAGGAATGTCCTACATCCAGGTTGCTGCAGGGGGGTGTGTCTTCATTGACCAGTGGGGTTACCGTACGGGTGGGGGTCACACAGTCTTACTGAAAAGTGATGGGAATGCTGTCGCTTTTGGAGACAATTCCTATGGGCAGTGTGACATTCCACCCCTCGAAACAGGAATGTCCTACATCCAGGTCTCTGCCGGCTGGGTTCACACCGTGCTACTCAGGAGTGACGGGAGTGCTGTGGCTTTTGGCCACAATTCCTGTGGACAATGCGACATTCCACCACTCGAAGCAGGAATGTCCTACATCCAGGTTTCTGCAGGTGGGAGGCACACAGTGCTATTGAAAAGTGATGGTACCGCTGTGGCTAGGGGTGAGCAGTGCAAGCATGGAGCGTGTGACATTCCAGAACTTGAAGCAGGACTGTCCTATACCCAGGTTTCTGCGGGCAGCTATCACACGGTCCTACTGAAAAGTGACGGTACTGCTGTGGAATGGCCCCGACCTCGTACCTTTCCAAAGCTGGCAGATGGAACTTTCTATACTGAGGTCTCGGCTGGCACGTCTCACACAGTGCTACTGAAAAGTGATGGAAGTGCTGTGGCTGCTGCTGCACCTCATAGTTATTACCTTGCCAGAACTAATCCACCTTATTGTGATTCTGCCGGAAGCTGCGAAGGAGAATGTCACATTCCCCGACTTGAATTTGGAGAGTTCTATATGCAGGTTTCTGCGGGCCATGGATTTACAGTGCTTCTGAAATGTGACGGGAGTGCAGTGGCTTGTGGAGACAACTCTCGTGGACAATGTGCTCTCTCAATTTTGGCTAAGCCAGGAGCACGTCGAGTACGTCGCCACATTCGCCAGAGGATGGAACAGCAGCGCCAGTTCTTCGTCCAGAATCCTACGAATGGTGTGACTCTTAGAGACAGTGTCATGTTACTCGATTTTGCTCAGGACGGAGAGGATTGGTTCATCCTGACCTGTTCGACCTTGAGCGGGCGGGAGATCCTACGTTGGACCAAGCATCATGAGCAGCGGGTTAGGATTCTTTATGAACAACTGGCGCACTACTTGCATGTACCGAACCAAAATCTTCGGTTGGTCTTGCCGGATGGACAGTTTCTGGCAGGATTGTGCCGTGCAAACCCTTCACTAGGGGAGGTGGCTTGCCGTCGCCGTCGCCACACCTAGTTTTGCAACAGCATTCTGTCTTGCCAGATGTACAGTTCCTGGCAGTGCTGCGCGATGCAAACCCTGCCTAATCTTCGGGTGAGTGGTCTTGCCGGATGTACAGTTACTTGCTGTGCAGTGCACACTTGCAGGTGTTTGGAGATGCGAAATAAATAGGGGTTTTGAAAGTCCAAGATGTGTTCACATTACTAGGTGATGTTCATAAGAAATGGAACTAGTGATTTCACCACAGCACAGGTGATTTCACCACCTCACTGGCTGAAAAAAAACCAGCGGATTGGGCTACCCTACGTTCAGACAGCCCCAAATTTGCGCTACTGTATACCCAACTTGATGAAGATGGTACCATCTTGAAAAACGATTACACGCTATGATCATTGGGGTGCAAACAATCAGCAACGAACATGGAGTTACTCATTGGATTCGCCAGAAATGAGTACAGGGATTTATTTCAATACGGGGTGGTTTTGAACACGGGGTACCCCAAAATCTATCGGTTAAATCATCCTTTTTCCAATTAAACCACATGGAGCGGGAAACAGCAAGAATCATGGGGATTCGATAACGTCACCAACATGGGAATGATAATGTGGCCATGAACGATGAGAATTGGGGACGTGTCAAAACCTATTATGACCATAGGGGAATAAACATCCATTAACCAACTATTCTAGGGTACCATCCCAGTAGGGTTTTGACCCATAACCAATTAGCCAGTCGAGTCGAGATTTCAGCAGAATTCGTTCATTCGCAGACTTGGATGATGGGAAAATTTACAGGTTTTACCCTATATTTGATGGTAAAAACCATGGTTTCCTGTACATTATCCTATATTTCATGGTAAAACCATGTAAAACCCCCATGTGGTCCTGGCGGTGACGAAGCACCCTGGCGGTTCGGGCGCCAGGTTGACTTCAAGTTCTGCCTTGTTTCTGAGCTGAGATCGCTGAGATCCAGTCACCATGGTGATGGGCGGTAACCAAACCCTTCAAAAATCATACCATCTGGTTATGACATTCACAGTTTGCCATGGAAAATCACCATGGCTATTAAGAACGGTGTTTACCATCTATTTCGATTAGGGCCATCTATTTTCCATGGCGAACTGTGAATGTCATAACCAGGTTGGGTACTTCTGAATGGCAGTTTCTGGGGGTGAATCCCACATTGCAACCCACTTTCCACCAGCCGATGCAGGTCCTTTTTGTGCCCTGACTAGACACATATAAAACGCGCTATAGGTGGCGGATACCTATATAATCATAGACTATATCATCATATCAATAGGTATGATATCATATATGTTCCAGGTTCTGCCCTCCCCCCATGGTCATGGTATCCCTTCAAGATTTTTGTGGGTGTGGGTTGTGGTGGGAGGTGGTGGTGTATGCAGTGTGTTCATGGTATCCCCCCCTGTGGAGTGGGTTGGGGTGGGAAGGGGCATTTGCTGTACAGGAAACATGTAATAGATGAATAGCTGGTGCATCCAAATAAGTCTGGTTGGTGGTTTGGAACATTTTTTATTTTTCCATATGTTGGGAATGTCATCATCCCAACCGACTTTCATATTTTTCAGAGGGGTAGGCGCAACCACCAACCAGAATAAATCACAGATCTAAAATCACAGGTTATTATTAACCAGTATTAACCATATAATAACCATGAATATTAACAGTATATGACCTACCAATGGTAGCTCAACCACCATCGACTGAACCGTCCGAGGCCTGGCACGCCAACGAGGTGCTCAAGGAGGGGCCGCTGATCAGCGATCTGCAGCGTGAGACGATCCCGGAAAATCACAAGGGCAACGACACCAAGGTCCGAAAAAACCGTGGATTTTCCGGGAAAAATTCATCCCTAAACCCAGCTGCTGGATGGCGTGGATTTTCTTCTGGTAAAATTTTTGGGGAACTTCCATGTGTTTTTTTCGGTGAAACAAACATGGATGTTTTTTTAAGCATGGGAATTGACATTTCCATGAATGGTTGGGATGTAACTGGCCGGAAAAAGTCGATGTTTCATGGGATTTTTCGAAGTAAAACACCAGCAACGATGAAACTTTTTTTCTGGATTCAATGGAATTCATCAATTGGTTTCTGGACATTTTAAGAAAGTTATGGTGAATCAGTAGATTTTGGAGTACCTAAAGTGTTCAGGCAAGCACAAATTTCCGCTTGGAAATCATGGTAGTTTCATATTGGACTTATTCAAGAATTGGGGGCCCGCAAGGGTGGCATTGAATATGGAGGGAGTGAGATGACAGGGCACTTTGCATGGAATGGGTATGGGTAAATTTTTGGGGGGTTCAGGGGACGGCAGATGGACGTAGAGTGAGAGAGTCTCTGTAGATATTTGATGATATTTGGGGGTCCTACCAGCAATTTCAATATCCGGGTGGATTTTGGGCAATCCCAATCTTCGAAAACATCCAACTGTCAAATGTGTATTGTATGAATTATGTCTTATTAATGTATATATATATACAGATATATATATATATATATTTAATTGCGAATAGTTGTAATAATATATATAATAAGTATATATACATTTTATATCATGTTATACATGTATGCATACTGATCTGCATTTGTGGTCTGGAGCTCTGCAGGTGTTCCCCTGTACATTTTGGGGAATTTTTGAGGGAACACACTGAGAAAAGTAATGGGTTTGTCTGAGACTGGGGCAACCTCAAATCCCTGGTTTATGAATGTTTAATATATATATATATATCAAATGAAGTTGCCATATAGAGCATATACATCATATACCCCTTTTTGCAGACACACCCAACCATGGCAAAACATGTCACATGTCCAAGTCAGCTGCAGAGGCAATCTCAGCGATCGTTCACTTCATGTTGCTGGAGCACTTGGGGCTCATAGCAGACGATGGAGCAATGACTGTGACTGGGACCAGCGACATGTTGCAGGTGGCAGTGGGTGGCGATGACGAAAAACGGCTGTTGCCTGGTGTTTTGGATTTGATGATCACCCCCTGAAATATGGCAGAGGTTATTTTGATCGATCCGTGGATGTTTTTTGCACGAGATGTTTGGGGTGCTGAGAAATTCACTGTGGCAGGCAGGAGGGTAACTTCCTTTTGGGGATCAATGGGGTATCCTTTTGGACCGGGCACTGGATGGCATGTCACACTGTGTTTTCCTCTTTTTCAGGGACCAACACCGAAAAAAACATGGCGATCATGAAAAAAACAACAAACATCCGTTTTTTTGGTAAATATGTTGGTCACATCGTAACTCATTCATTTGGGTAAATTACAGTGCCCTCACTGTGACCTGGAATCATGGCAAGTGGAATTATCATGAATTATCCCATTATAGCCTTGTTTATCTTGTTTCAGCTTTGTGAAAGTCGTGTCTTTTAGTAGATATATAATTTATATATCCCAATATAGCCTTGTTTATATAGCCTTTAATGTGGTTAAAACAATAATAAACCATCCCCAAGTCATCACCATTTTGATGGGTGGGATTCCAACCATCAAAAAATGTGGTAGTTTATAACATTGTTTTAACCACATTATTACCCTCCAGTAAATTAACATAGACCCTGGCAGAGAGGGGGGTCGAACTGTTAATTTACCAGAGGGTAGTATGTGTATATATATATATACTAATAGATATATTATGGATAAATCAAAAATGTCTGTATAATATGAATCATTATGACTTATATCATATATTTATCTGATTGGTGGTTTCAAGCATTTTTTATTTTCCATAATATATGGGATAATCCTTCCCATTGACTTTCATATTTTTCAAGATGGTTATTGCACCACCAACCAGTATATCATATATTTATATTGGGATAATGAATCATATAATTATGAATCATTATTACTAATATCATAAATTATCTGGTTGGTGGTTTGGAACATGTTTTTTTTCCATATATTGGGAATGTCATCATCCCAACTGACGAAGTCCATCATTTTTCAGAGGGGTTCAAACCACCAACCAGTTATGATTTACCCAGAAAAATCCATGGCAGTTGGCTCCCAAATCCCTGAGGTCCTGGGAGACGTCCTAAAAGATTCACCTCGACAGCTTCAGGACGGCGATGATTTTCTGGAGCTACGTGATCTTTTTTTAGTTATGCTTATAATACATATACATACATATACATACATATACATACATATACATACATATACATACATATACATACATATACATGTCATATACATGTCATATACATACACATATACATACATATACATACATATACATACATATACATACATATACATACATATACATACATATACATACATATACATACATATACATACATATACATACATATACATACATATACATACATATACATCCCGGCGGAAGGGAAACCGCGCGAGCGTTTTGATTGGTTGCTTCCAGGAGAGTCACAATCACCTGTAATTTACAATATAAAATGCTCTTCCGATCAGTTTGGATAACTGAATTTGGGTTAAAAAAAGTGGATGCAAAATCTATTGATTTTTAACAAATCCAGGTAAACATCATGTGCATCAGACGTGGATGCGCAGATTTTTTTCACACTCTTCGTCGGCTCAGCGATCCATCAGTGTGGAAGCTGTCTTCGACAGCAAGTTGCCATTATGGCACTCATAACGCCACTGCCAGCAGCGTAGCAACATGTAACGTAGTAAACGATCCCAGAGATCTCAGCAGCGTAGCAACATGTCACGTAGTAAACGATCCCAGAGATCTCAGCAGCGTAGCAACATGTAACGTAGTAAACGATCCCAGAGATCTCAGCAGCGTAGCAACATGTCACGCAATAAACGATCCCAAGGATCTCAGCAGCGTAGCAACCTGTAACGTAGTAAACGATCCCAGAGATCTCAGCAGCGTAGCAACATGTAACGTAGTAAACGATCCCAGAGATCTCAGCAGCGTAGCAACATGTAACGTAGGAAACTATCTCAGAGATACCAGCAGCGTAGCAACATGTAACGTAGTAAAAGATCCCTGAGATCGTAGCAACATCGCAATATATCCTGTACGAAGTACAAGGAACGTTACCATGCCCCCCCACCCCACCCCACCCCAACCCCAAGAGCAACATGGCAATATATCATGTACGAAGTACCAGGAACGTTAACATGCCCCCCCACCCCACCCCACCCCAACCCCAAGACAAAGAGCAATACTCAAAAAAGAAGCAAAACGCACGTACGGTTTTCCTGCCGTAGGCATATACATATACATATACATATACGTATACATATACATATACGTATACATATCATATACATATACATATACATATACACATACACATACATATACACACATATACATGTATAATACATGTCATATAACATCCATATACATTCATATACATACATCTACACACATATACATACATATACATACATATACATACATATACATACATATACATACATATACATACATATACATACATATACATACATATAAATACATATACATACATATACATACATATACATACATATACATACATATACATACACATACATACATATACATACATATACATACATATACATACATATACATACATATACATACATATACATACATATCCATACATATACATACATATACATACATATACATACATATACATACATATACATACATATACATACTACCCATCATATACTACATATACATAACATAATACATACATATACATCATTACATAATACATACTACATACATATACACCATACTACCCTACATACACATACATACACATACATACATACATATACATCCATATCTACATATACATTACATATACATACATTTTACATACATATACATACATAGACATACATATACATACATCTACTACATATACACACATATACATACATATACATACTATACATACTATACATACATATACACAATATACATACATATACATACTATACTACATATCACATACATATACCCACATATACATACATCATTAACAACAAAAAAACAAAAAACATATAACATACATATACATACATATAAGACATATACATACATATACATACCTATACCATAACAATATACATCACATATACATACTATACATACATATACATACATATACATACATATCATACATTCCAACAGATCTACATATACATACATACATACATACATACATACATACATACATACATACATACTTACATACACATACATACATACACATACATACACATACACACACATACATACGCATACATACACATACACACACATACATACACATAAATACACATACATACACATACATACACATACATACACATACATACACATACATACACATACATACACATACATACACATACATACTCCTACATACACATACAAATACATACAAATACATACATATACATACATATACCTACATATACATACATATACCTACATATACCTACATATACCTACATATACAAACATATACATACATATACATACATATACATACATATACATATACATACATATACATACATATACATACATATACATACATATACATACATATACATACATATACATACATATACATACATATACATACATATACATACATATACATACATATACATACATATACATACATATACATACATATACATACATATACATACATATACATACATACATACATATATATATATATGCGAATGGGAACTAGACTACAGTATGACTTATGTTCCCACGTATATAGCCATTATCCTTCCACAGCCAAGGGGTCGCTACTGCCGCCCCTTTGGCTCAAGTACCACTGCAGATCCCCCGAGAAAACATTCGTCAATGCCGAAGCTGTGCACCTTCTTTTGTCGTTGTGGTTGAGAACAGATCTTTTCTATATCAACAAGGAATATACGCATATATCGGAGGGAATCTCCGATTCACAGGTTATCAGCTCGCATGCTCAGCTGAGCAAAGGTGAGACCGGGCGTCTGTTCTGGGGGGCGAATGCTAAAGACCTTCCCAGGCAGATGTTTGCCCTGTAGCCCCTCAAAGGACTTCTGTTTGTGGCCTTCAAAAATGCCACCACCAAAAAGAAAACAAATGGTGTCGCCACCTTCGAAGTGGGGGGTGTGAACAGAAGCTGGTTGCCCTTAGGGCCAGCGCGTCCCCTCTGCTCAGTGCAGCGCTGTCCTGCTGCGCTGACAGGGGTGGGGTGGGCACAAACCACTCATAATTAATATATATATATATATACAATTATATATATATACAGCTTTAAATCGTCCTGAAGTGAAATTGGAGGGCAACAACGTGTGAATTTTGGTTGAAACACCCCGCTGCCACAACGAAATCTTAATAGTCAAGCTGGTCAAGATCTCAAAATTACTTTACTTCGCGTCATCCCCACTCTGGCATATATCCTGATATATGTATATATATATATATATGCATATATATATATGTATATATATATATATGTATATATATATATATGCACATCTATTCTTTAAGTCTTTACATTTTATCTGAGATCTTATCTGACGAGCTTGCCCGCTGGGCCCCTGAAGATCCGAAGCTTAGAATTAGAATGCCAGGAAACTCAGGAAACATGTTAGATAGTACATTTGGGAGAATTTGAGTGAGTTTGGATGAATTTTTGAATTTCTTCAGAATTTTCTGGTTGATTTTCTAGCAGGACTTGAGCCAAAAAACCTATCCGTCCTCAAAAATTCGGAGCCTTCGATTCTGAGGAGCCATGTCTCGTCGCCTTAGAGATGATGAAGTTTGGGATCTTGAGTGGTGAGCCGCAACTGGGCTCAGAGATTGTAGCATTCTTCAACCATGGTGGCATCATCTATATCTAAGTGTATATCCATTAGTGAATATATATATATCTATATATATATCTAAGTGTAGATATATAATATCCATTAGTCATGGGATGATGGTGGCATACACTTAAGATATACACAAGATATCACAAGATGCGTGGGGAG